ATTGAGATATTAGCAAATTTATGATGCACGAATTTTTATTTAAGTTTGTGTAAAGGATTTATGGAAAGAGTTTTTTTCTACTTTTCCTTAAAAATTTTTTTTTAAAAACTCGCCCAGTTATTAAACATATAAAAAATTTTTTGTAAAACTTTTCAAAATTTGACCTGGCCAGGTTACAAGAACCAATTAATTAACTTGGCATGGCCTTATATATATCAATTTTTGCTAAGATTATAATCCAAATTTATACAAATCTTTGTGATTTACCAACCAAATTTTTTTTATAATCCAAATAATTTTTACAGGTCCCTGATTAGAATACTAGTATTCATAATAATTATTTTATACTTAATATATCTTGAACATTTTTTAATGCTTATAGCAAACCACCTCATTTGTGTACAAATATTAGCTATCATATATTTAATTATAAAACTATGATTTTAGAAAATTGATCTGAGTTTTCAGATTTTCTTATAACAAAACTCAATTAATATCAAATACTGTTATCATCACAAATCTCTGAAAATATAAACACTATATGGTATAAGATTAAACACTCTATTATATATACTACTACATTAACTATTTCAAACAAAATTAGCTATAAACATAGCTATAATCACAAATACACCTCTCATAGCATATAACTATATCTATCTTTTAAAAAACTTGATTATCTAGTCAAAAATCTAAAAAATACTAATATAACACTAGATATCTTTTTAGTTAATTTATAAATTCAGAATACTAATTTACGATTTCAATATAATCTTCAAACCCTTTTAAATTCAGATTCTGCTTAAATTTTAGAATAGATAAATCATGCTCAGAATATATAATACTAATTGTACCAAACACGCTATACTAAAAACTCTCTTCTTCTCCATCAACAAATCCAACAAGCTTTTAAGAAGTGATGTGAGACTTTTGTTAGCAAGCCTATATATATTATTAATAGTATTCTTAATCACTATCAAGCTCCAATATATTTTTTAAATATTAAATTATCAGATCAATTAATTACTAAGCCAGCTTATAAAAGGCTTGTAAAAATTATATACTACTAAATAAAATAGTTTCTACTTTAAATTTATTTAAATAGAAGTATGGTGACATAGAGTAGTAGTTAAGTAGTCACTCCCAAGCAGCAGGTCTAGAGTTTGATTCTTACCAGAGATATTTTTTGAAAAATAGGTCTATATTATAGTAATATTTATTTGATAATCAGTTGGGTATATCATCTGTAACCTTGGTACCACTATCTTGAAATAGAAGCTTTAGAGCGATCAAAATCCAAAGAACCAAAATATTTGAAACTTGTTTGCAAGACCCGAGCTAGAAGTAGTAAAAATCTTCAATGATATTATAGAAACTGAAATTAGAGACTGAAGAAACAGATGAACAACCCTGGGGCAAGAAGAGTTTACCAACCTGGCTGCCAAAGTTGTACTGAAGGAAAAGGTCTGATGCTACAGAATTCGGAATCAAGGAAAGTAAAACCAGAAAGCACTTAGAGCCTAGGTACAACAACCCTTCTGGGCTAACTAGTTTGGTAGTTGGAGAGGGATCGGTATAAGGGTCAGTTGGAAGTAGATATTAGGATCGGAATGAATCTTGTAAAGAGCAAAAAGTAGATAATAGTAGTGGTGATAAAAACTACAAGTTCCAGTTCTTAGATTAGAGTGTATATTACCAAAAAACCCAGGTGATATATGTGTAGGACATAGACCACTCTAGTAGGTTTACCATGAGGATAAAATAGTTCTAAGAAGCTTTAGTAGCAAGAATTCTTCTGGAAAAAGCATCTGACAATATTAAGTCGATCAAAGGGTTTAAATAAGGGATCTACAAGCAGATCTTAAGTATAGCAATTGGTGGATAATTATAAATAGAAATAAATATAGCAGAGCCCTTAATTAAACAATGACTAAAGTTGTACGTATTACTAATTGTACTTTCATTGATATAACAAAGTCAAGAGGTGCCTATTCAATATCCTGATAATTGAACTGAGAAGTTAATAAATCGTACCAGACCCCAAAGTAGTCACCTTAATATAAAAAAAAAAAAAATTTATCTAAATAGTATATAAAAGCTTAAAACCAGTAGAAAAATACTTCTTTGATTATAGAATATAAAGAATCAATACTCAATTCTAGTCTCAGAATATTGTTTATTAGATTGTTATATTTGAGATATATGTCTTAATATATTTGTTGTCCTATTATACTGATTTAAAAAATAAATAATACTAACTATTTTGATATATAATCAGACTTTTATATAATTACCAAGTCTATTGCATTCTAATATAGTGATTGTATAGAGGTGTAACTATAAACAAATATCAAATTAATATTATATGATTTTTAGCCAATCAATGATTAATTGGTAATTTATTAATTATAATTGTCCTACATATAAAGTTTTTTTGTACTAAGTTAACTATCTTTAAATTTTTAAGTAAAGTTGTAGAGCTTATTAAAATGAATCTAATAATAGTTAAATCATCAAAATCGGCATAGTAGTTGCTAAAATATCTTTAAAAAGCCTTTTGCTAACTATATAAATTCTTTGTAAACAATATAAAGAATTTTTCTATAGTTGGCAAAATATTTTTCAAAGATATTTCAATATTCACTAGGCCAATTTTAATAATTTAACCACCATTAGATTTATCTTAATGAGCTCTACAACTTTATTTAAAAACTCAAAGATGATTAACTTAGTCAAAAAACTTTTCAATTAATAAATTAGTGATTATAAAGAGGTTTTTTATTAATAAATTTGACTTAAAAATTATATTTTTAATATGATAATGATTATAAGTGATTTGTGACTATAATGAAAGCTTTTTATTATATTTTAAGTCTATTATACAAATTTGGGTGCTTAAATAGAGGTATGACTATATAGAGTATGATTATAGAAAGGTTTGACTGTATATAATATTGATTTTTTAAAGAAGATAAACTAAAATATCCATTTTTTACAAACTTTTTTTAAAAAAAAGTAGTAAACCAATAAAAGTATATGAGGTTTTTCTTATAAAAGTTATAGTTATATAGTCTAGTTCTTCTGTTTTTACTTGATATTCTACTAAATTATTTTTACATGAGGTCTTCAAAAAGTTTTGAGAATATTTAATTATTTCAATAGGTTTTAAATATGAGAGTGAGTCAATAGAAAAGAAGCAAATTTTTTCTAAATAAAAGTTTTCTTGATTTTAAGCTTAAATATTTTAACAACTATCTTATTAAATTTAATAATTTTTTTTTATTTTAATTCTATATAATTTCAAGATTAAAATAAAAAAATTTTTAGCAAATTTGATTAAATAATTGTTAAGATATTTTAATTTAAAAATTAAAAAAATTTTACTAAATATGATTTGTCTCTTTTTACTGACTCACACCATATATAAATCTAAAAAACAGATATATTATAATATTAGTTTTTAATAAATAAATAAATAAATATTAATTAGAATTAATGAGATAATTGTTGAGATATAAGCTTTTAAAATTAGCTTACTTTTATTATTAAAGTTTATTAATAAAATATTTTTATTTATAAAATATTAAAAAGAATTTTTTATATAATAATAAAATTTATATTTAAAAAATTAATTATAATTATATAAGAGAAAATGTTTTTTGTATATCTGCATACAGTATTGTATGTTTTGACTATTCAAAGGCTTTTTTGGTACTGTCTAACATCCAAGTATCCAAGTATCCACAAGTATTCAGAGCATGTTTAAGCTTTAATAATTAATAAATTTGTTTAAAAAATATATGATTATATATTTTTTTATATGTTAAACATATTTTACTTAAAAATTAATATAGGTTATCTTAATAAAATTTTGAGTAATTTTAATTTATTTAATTGTTTAAAATTGTTTAAAGTATCCAAACTTACTATCCACAACTATCTTGTGACAACACTGTCTGCATGGTTGTATACCCTATATAATCAGCAAATAAAATTAAAGATCATGTACATATAATAATTTTTGATAATTGTTTTTTTTATTGTTTGTATTTTGCTTTTGGTGCTTTTGCTTGTATTGTTTTGCTTGCTTTTGCCACTCATGATTTTGCTGCTTTCACTTTGGCTATTTTTGCTTTGCTGTTTTCGCTTTTGCTGCTCTCATTTCTGCTACTTTTACTTTTATTGCTCTTTCTTTTTTTGCGTTCACTTTTACTACTTTTGCTTTGTTCCTGTTTCTTTTGCTATTTTTGCTTTTGCTACTTTTACTATTTCTTTGCTTTCTTTTTTTTATTTTCTTTTTCTTCTTTTTTTCTTTTTATTTTCTTTTCATTTTTTTTACTTTTTCCATTTTTTTTCTTTTCATTTATTCTATTTTTCACTTTTTTCACTTCTTTCTTTTTATTTATTCTATTTCTTCCTTTTACTTTCCTCTTTTCTTTCTCTGTTTTGCTCTTCTTTTTCTTTTTTTGTTTTCACTTTTTCCATTTCATTTTTTTTCATTCTTTTTTTCTTTTTATTCTCTTTTCACTTTCTTTTTTTTCTCTTTTTCTCTTTTCTTTTTCTTTATTTTTCTCTTTTTTTTCTATTGTTTTTATTTTTTTTTATTTTTTCTGTTTATTCTTTTTTATTTTTTCTATTTCTTTCTTTTTGTTTTTTTTTTTACTTACCTCTTTCCTTTTTTTTTGCCTTTCTTTTTGTTTTTCATTTTCTTCTTTTCTCTTTCTTATTTCTTTCTTTTTGTCATTGCAGGTGTTGTCATTAGTACTGCTGTTAGATTTTCTTTTTTGTGTCATTGTTGGTATCACTGTTAGATTTTTTTTCTTGGTGTGTGGTCTCACATGTTTCTCTAGTGGGTAGATTTGTATATTTCTTTGGTAGTGGTCTTGTATGTTTTTTTGGTGGTGGTCTTGCATATTTCTTTGGTAGTGGTCTTGCATGTTTTTTTGATAGTAGTTCTGCATATTTCTTTGGTGGTGGTCTTGCATATTTCTTCAGTTAGATATAGTGGTTTCTATTGTTTTTTTTTTTCTTCTATAGTTATTAATGTTTTATATCGTGTTTGTAATCATTTGTGCTTTGTATAGTCTGTTGGTAGCTTTGATTTGATGGTGTTGTTATTTTTTTGGTATATCATTATATCTTAGTTTTCTTAGTTTTTTGCTATTGCCTTGACATCATTTAGGATAGATATAGAATGTAGGTGAAATTTTTTGGAGCACATGATTAATTGATCTCTGAACTAGGTCAGGATCATGTGATTATATAGAGCACTTTTTTATTACATTGATCACCACTCTACCAAGAGACGTAACAAAAATCAAGTGATTTTTTAGGGGGAGAAGGTAAAAAAAGAAAATTATATATAAGAACCTGATTTTTTTTTATATTAAGAGGAGGGAGAGGGTGTAAGCCTCTGATAAAAAATAATCAGGTAATAAATGACACTGTCCCAACAGATCAACAGATAAGTTTTTATTATAATTTTTTTTTTAGATTAGATTTGCTTTTTTTTTCTTTATATTTACTGCTGCTTTTCTTTCTTCCAGATATAATTTTACTGTTAGAGCTGTCATTACTAGAGGTTTTAGATAAGTTTTTGTCTTGATGCCATTTTTTTTTTATATATTTACTACTGCTTCTTTTTCTTCTGAGTTTGATTTCACCATTGGAGTCACCATTTTTTTTATCTTAGGGGCAGTTATATATTTGCTTCTCTTCTTTTGGGTATAATTTTGCAAGTTTCAGATAAATTTTTTGTTTTGGTATCATTTTTTTTTCTTAAATATTTATTTCTGTTTTTCTTTCTTCTGAGTATAATTTTGCCATTAAAGCTATCATTACTAGAGGTTTCAGGTAAGTTTTTCATTTTGGTGTCTTTTTTTATTCTTATATATTTACTACTGCTTCTTTTTCTTCTAGATTTGATTTTGCTATTGGAGCTATTTATTGAAGTTACTGTTTTCTTTGTCTTGGAGGTAGTTTTTTTCTTATATATTTGCTTCTCTTCTTTCGAGTGTGATTTCGCAAGTTTTGAGTAAGTTTTTTGTTTTGGTATTGTTTTTTTTTCTTATATATTTACTACTGCTTCTCTTTCTTCCAAGTTTGATTTTGCCATTGGAGCTATTTATTGGAGTCACTGTTTTCCTTGTCTTGGAGAGCAGTTTTTTTTCTTATATATTTGCTTCTTTTCTTTCAGGTGTGATTTTGCAAGTTTTTCATTTTGGTATTATTTTTTTTTCTTATGTATATATTTATTATTGTTTTTTTTTTTTCAGATTGAATTCGCTATTGAAGCTATTGCTACTGGAGATTTTGGATAAGTTTTTTATCTTGGTGTTATTTTTTTATATATATATTTACTATTGCTTCTCTTTTTTCAGGTTTGATTTGCTATTGGAGTTATCATTACTAGAGTTATTGGAGTTGCTATTTTTTTTGTCCTGTGGGCAGTTTTTTTTTTCTTATATATTTACTTCTCTTCTTTCAAATATGATTTCGCAGGTTTCAGATAAGTTTTTCATTTTGGTATTATTTTTTTTTTTTTAGATATATATTTATTACTGTTTTTCTTTTTTTCGAGTTAAATTCACTATTAGAGCCATTACTATTGGAGGTTTTAGGTAAATTTTTCATCTTGGTGTTAATTTTTTTTCTTCTATATTTACTACTGTTTTTCTTTCTTCTAGATTTGATTTTACTGTTGAAGCTATCATTACTGAAGTTATTTGAGTTACTATTTTCTTCATCTTGTAGGCAGTTTTTTCTTTTTTTATATATTCACTTTTCTTCTTTCGAGTAAGTTTTTCATCTTGGTATTATTTTTTTTTCTTATCTCTTAGATTGTAGATCAACACAGACAAATTTGTCTGTATTTGTGCTATAAATATGCTACTGATCTATTTTTTTAACAATTTAGAATATTCAAATAAAATTTGATATAATAATATTTAAAAAATATAGATTACTTTTTTATAGTATTTATTTTTAGATTATAAGAAAAAATTTTAGGTTACTTATAAACCAAAAAT